GCACTGTTCATCAAGTTTTGAGTCTCCCCTGTCAACTGATATCATCTAACATTCACAAGTATGTTAAAATTATTTTGTGCATAAACTTCATAATTAACTCTAGGTTGTATGCAGCTGATGAGAAGCCAATGAAACAAGCAGTGATGGTAGCATCTTATTCTACACAAACCACCACTGTTGTTCTTGCTTTATTCAAACCTTCCACATGATTGGTGATCATTCTGCCATGAACCATCATCACTACTGACTATCCAATTCAATAAGACGTTAACTCTCATCTGAATAAGTTGATGATTGGCTAATGAGGATCGAATACTCTCAGAGAAATTCAGTTACTTCAAGGTACAGTTTGTGAATTAGTAATTAGCTGGTGCTAAATGGTATACCAAACACCACCAACAACAACAACAGACAACAATCAGGATAAATGGAAGGAACCTGAAAGAAACAACCTCCTTTACCTACCTGGGAAGCATCGTTTCAACTACAGGCGGGTGGAACTGACGAGGATATCAAGGCAAGAATCGGAAAAGCAAGACAAGCTTCCATTTCTCTCAAGTCTGCGTGGAGGTCAGCAGCACTCAGCGTCAAAAATAAGATCCAGATTTTCAACTCCAATGTGAAGTCAGTGTTACTTACTATACGGATCAGAGACTTGGCGCGTCATAGATAGCACCTCAAACAAACTACAGACCTTCATTAACAGTTGTCTTCGCTCAATACTCAAGATCAGATGACTGGCCAGAAAAGATCAGCAATAGTGAGGGATCTCTGGCAATGAGCGAACCAACTCAGCAGGAACCGATTGTGAAACAAATAGTCAGGAATAAGTTGAGGTGAATTGGCCATACTCTGAGAAAACTAACCATCAAGTGACATCACTAGACAAGCCATTGCTCGAGTGGAACCCGAATGGGAAGCGGCGAGTTGGATGCAGTGCGAGGGTGACTTGGAGGAGGTCATGTGAAGAGGAGATGAAAGCATGTGGGCAGACATGGAACCAGGTGAAGACTAGCAGAGAACCGAACGCAATGGAGACGCACGTTTGAAGCCCTATGTTCCTCTGGGAATTAAATGAAACAATAATAATAAAAATAAATGGTATGCCACAGATAAAGTGTACGAGAAGGTTGTAACACCAAACTTAATAGTCACTTGTTGCAATAGAGAAGATTTGTAGCTCAGGAGGATGATTTGCAATTAACAGTGTTCTCTGAGCTGGTTGGTTTGGTTGCGGAGCTTTCATCGTCCTTCTGGACAACATCCCCTTCAGCGCAATATTTAGCATAAAGTGAAATGAACACCAATTGGATCGCCAATATCAGGATTAATAGTTGAAGCTGTTATGCAAAGATTAGAATTAATAGCTCTACCTTTAATTAAACCGAAAATCTGGACGGGTACGTTACGTTGATGATACATTTGTAATAATTAAGAGAAATGATTGAGAATATACCCATTAAATTAATAAACAACATATTTGAAGACATCAAATTCACCACGAGAGAAGAAGAATTGGACAACAACAAAATCCCATTTTTAGATGTCTTAATCAGAAGAACTAACACAGGAAATTTAGAAATACAAGTATATAGAAAATCAACGTACACAGATCAAATACTCAACTATACTAGCAATAATCCAATTACTTACAAACGAAACTGTGTGGAGACATTGTTTGAAAGAGAGTTAAAACACACACTGTAGCACTCCAGAGTTGAAAAGAATGGAAGAAAAATACCTACAAATGGTCTTCAAAAGGAATGGTTATCCACAAAATTTCATCAAAAAGTGTTTAAAGTCGAATTAAAACACCAACAAGAAACCATCATCAAAGACCACAAGAAAATTCATCCTACCATACATGAGAAATATCTCTGAAATAACAGCTAGAATACTGAAACCGTTTGATATAGATATAGCACACAAGCCAGTCAAATCACTTAATTCGATATTGTGCAAACTGAAAGATCCAACAGAAAAGGGAGATACAATCAATACCGTTTACAAAATAAATTGTATGAACTGCAACAAGCATTACATCGGCCAAAGTGGGCGTCCCCTTCGAATTAGAATCCAAATCAGCCGTGAAAAGACACGATATATATTCTTTAGTATCAGTGCATATAGATAATTATGGACATCAGTTTGATTGGGATAATGTCGAAATCTTAGACAGAAGAAACACCAAAAATACTGCCAGGGAATTCCTACAAGCCTGGTACTCAAACGAAAATGCAATTAACAAACACGTTAATATAGACCAAATATACCAACTGATAGAAAGTAGATCAGGTGACCAGAAATTTTAAAATCCAAGTCAACAGAAAATGGTCAATACATATGTAAAGTTGGTTACCAGGAGACGTAATTCTATCATTCATGGAAAATGTAAATAAGTGCACTTTATGCTGAACATTGTGCTGAAGATGTTGTCCCAAAGGACGACGAAAGCTCCGCAACTAAACGAACCAGCTCAGAGAACACTACTGATTGCAAGTCACTTGATACACCTAACTTACAGATTTCAGACATTATTAAGGCGTGAATATTCCAGGTAGCCCGGCTAATTATTATTATTGTTCCCTTGGGTTCCTAGTGGAACATAGGGCTTCAACTACACGTCTCCACTTGCTTCTGTCTTCTGCTGTACTTTTCACTTGCATCCATGTTAGTCCATACTGTTTCAGTTCCTCATCACACGATCTCCTCCATGTCACCCCTAGCACTAACGTCCCACTCGCCGCTTCCCTTTCGGGTTCCACTCGAGCGTTTGCCTGACGCGCGATGTCACCCAGCGGCCTACTCAGCGAGTGTCCAATCCATCTCAACTTTCTCCTGCATATTTGTTGGGCGATTGGTTCTTGTTTTGTTTGTTCCCATAGCTTCTTGTTTGTGATTCTTTCCGGCCGGCCATCTGATCTTCAGTATAGAGCCAGCGAAGACAGTTGTTGTTGATAAAGGTCTGCAACAGGCTGTTGGAAATATTCTTTGTGACCCGCCAAGTTTCTGATCCATCCGTATAGAAGAACTGACTGACTTGGCGTTTGTATTGAAAATCCGAATTTTGTTGTTGATGCAGGCTGAGTGACGAAGATTTCCAAATTGGTTTCAGGTTGATGAATGTGTTTCTCGCCCGGCTAATAATGACCATATTTTATACTTGATCGGAAAAAATGCAGTAGGCCGTCGGGTGCATAAACAGTATCACGTTGGTTCATTTCCAGTGACAAATTCGTGTTTCAACTGTCTCTCAGAAATCGTTATATTTTTATTTCCGGACAATGAAACAGTAAAGCCTTGTTCTAATTGAATTTGAATCCCCTCCCTCCATGACTGATTTACATTGGAATGAAGTGCTCAGTTTCTCTTGATATGTCGACTTCTAGTGGGGAGATGCATTGACGACGTCTCAGGATTAACATGTTATTTTTCCTGGGTGTTGATGATGACTAACAATGGAATTCACAGTGTCCGCTGTGTCCTATTTATTTAGCATTAAAAATGATTGCTGTCGAGTTTGAGACCCCGTAGAGATGCATCCAGGTGATGAGACCTAAATAGGACGAAGTGTACACTGCTAGACACAAGCAGTCAAATGAAAAATATATCCAAAATATTCATCCAAACATCTATAAAACGCAAAATAATTGAGTAAAGAATATCTTTTTTGATAATTTCCTCTTCTGGCTCTACAATTATATATACATATCCGGAAAACTTTATCACTTGTCACAGTAAAGAAAGACCACGTCTCGAAAAGACAGCTTCTGAATCAAAGAAAGCTATCTTTATTAACCTACCATTTAAGGGTGACCAGATTATGCAGCTAACAGCTCAAAGACTTCGATCAGCCATCCAACGCACATTCTACGCCGCATCTCTTTTTCTCACTTGCCGAGCATTTTCGATCCCTGTACCTACGATTAAAGGACGAAATTCTGTGGACTCTACTTCAAACTGTATCTACAAGTTCACCTGCAGCTGCAGTGACACCTATATAGGTAGAACCAACAGAATGTTCAAACATCGTCGAAAAGAACATGTTCCGAAATGGTTATTAAAACATAGAAAATCGCAATGCACCCATTAATCAGAATAGAAATCCAACAATCCAGCATCAACCATTGCAAAACACTTATTAGTGTCAGGTCACAAAATTAATATTATTAATGACTGTTTCACAATTATTTCATAACATAACTCTAATTCAAGGTTATTGAAGGTGATGGAAGCACTTTGGGGGATTAATCACATATAGCTTAAACTGTGTGTACAAAAATCAATAGACTTCAACCTTCGCCTAACGTGGCGAGTACACTTGACCTATTTAAATATGACTGGTCATTAGTGTGTACTTTTGCTTTGTTTTATATAGCTGAGTAATTGTCATGCAGTTTATTTTATTATTGTTAACCATGTTAGTTGTGAAGCGGTTGTAAAGAAACTACGAAATGAGACGATATCATCTCGCGAAATTTGTCTTCTTAATGCCTTATTCAAATATATACATATGTTTATATACACAGAATATTCTAGATTGGCAGTCAATAACAATATTAGTGTTTTTTAAGTAATATTGATTTGTAAAGTAAGACCAGTGCGATTACAGTTCATCAAAGATGCTTAAATCATAATAAAAATAATATAATAGCAATTAGAGTATCAACTGAAATTAAGGAAGTTTCTATAAAAAATTGAGGATCATTCGAACCTAGATGGCCATCAGGGTAAGCATAATGTCTGAACTAGCTTCTATTTTTGGACGCACAAATTAGGCTTCTTCATATGGATCCCAACGGCCAGTCTCAGCAATATTTAGTAAACTAACTCTTAAGGTGATGTTAAGATTTATTGGTTGGTGTGAGGTGGATGACTTCGAAAGCCGCATCGTTGACATCACTCTTGTGTTGTGTATCCACACGATGAGATAGAATACCGCTATGTGAATAGATTTTGTTTGTCCTTTACTTAACCAAGCACTATGCAAGAGGTGATGTTCAGAAATCCGACAGTTCAGTTAGACCGCCAGTGTGGTAATTAATTTCAAATATACATTCAAACAAAAAATTGAACATCATCATCATATAAACTAACCTTGTATCTGATAATTTATCATTTACTAACTGGTGTACAACTTTCATTAAACGCTCAATCCCATCATTTCCTAATCGTTTGAATAGCATTGCATTCTTTTTACCAGTTTGTAATTTATTACAAAATATATAAGTTAACATTTTACCAATTGTATTACGACGTATATTACTACGTGAAAAGTTTTCCCAGACATGCGTACACATTGATTGGATAGCTGAGGCTTCATCTATACAAGATATATAGGCTTCGAGTGTTTTGGTTGCTTCATTTTGTAAGAATTTTGTGCTTGAATCTTCACTAATACGACTTAACAGTGTGGTGATTATTGATGTTGAATAGGCGTCAAGTAGACAACCTTGATGTAGACATTTTAAATAATCACATAGTTGATAGAGTGTATTTAAACCATTACGGCACACCTGTTAGAAGTATTGAAGATTTAACAATAGAAATAAATATATTCGCAAATATATATGTATATAATATTTAAAACAATTAGTTCCCTTTATGAATTTAGACAAAGCAATAAGATGTAATTTGTCTCAATCGTGTAATGTTGTATTTTCGCCCACAACACATTTCGAACAGTCTGATCAAACTCCACGGACTTGTCATAGGAATGAATATATATTAAATGAATAGAGTTAAGAGGTGAGAAAATAGACCACTTGGGTCAAGTTAAAAGGACATATTGAAGGTGAAAATAACAATGAAGATGAATGACTAAACCAAATAACAGAGGTAATAGTACATCTCCCATGGATGGTATCAAAACAACGTTTACCAACAAGGAAGGTTTAGTGTGATGACGAATTCTTGCTTTGAACGCATAGAGGTGGTTTAAACTGTCTAATTGCCAACTAGGGCTTCCACAAACTTTAGGATACGCCCCAAACACGTTTTATACATATATAGTAGCTTGATGTACACGTCTTTCTTAGGGGCGAGTTGTAGAGTTCATCTTAGTGTTCTAACTACATTATATCTCTTAATGAAGTCGACGGCTTAATGGGTCAATAAAAAGATCTATCGATAGAAAACCTACCTGAACAGGACAGTATCTTAATTACCACAGTTTCTGCCTTGTTCGGTACAAAAGAGCCTTAGTCAGCTAGGTGCCGCTTCAGTAGAATTTAACGAATATGTACTGAAGACACACTTGATGAAGAAGAAAGTTGACACAAATTCTGGTTGATAACAATTGTCCAGACAAGTTCCTCAGGAGATATATAGTAGTCAGAACACCAAGACCTACTCTCCAACTCGCCCCCAAGAACGACGTGTACATCAAGCAGCTTGATAACTAGACAAAGATTGAACGCTGCTGTTAAAAAGACTTTTAATGCAGCTAATATCATCATAATTGACAATGTGAAGCCAAGATGTCCGTCTAAGTCGTTTGAACATGCGAAAACTGATGTCACATCACACTGCATTTACCAACTTGAATGTACGTGTGGACACACCTACACAGGAGGGAGGACTCATTGATCTCTGCAAGTAAGGGCTGGCTTCGCAGCATATTCGTAAGTGGCTCTAGAAGCAAATAGAATCTTCAGAACCCATTAATGGTGAGAACAGGAGACCTAGCTCCTTTATTGAGAAATATATTACAGAGGAGACAGGAAATAAAATTGATGTTTACAAGTCTTTCAAACCTATCTATAGGACGTGTTTGGGGCGTATCCTAAAGTTTGTGGAAGCCCTAGTTGACAATTAGGAAGTTTAAACCACCTTTATGCGTTCAAAGCAACAATTCGTCATCACACTAAACCTTCCTTGTTGGTAAACTTTGTTTTGATACCATCCAGGGTAGATGTACTATTACCTCTGTTATTTGGTTTAGTCATTCATCTTCATTGTTATTTTCACCTTCAATATGTCCTTTTAACTTGACCTAAGTAGTCTATTTTCTCCTCTCTTAACTCTTTATTCATTTCATATATATTCATTCCTATGACGAGTCTGTGGAATGTGATCAGATTGTTCGAAATGTGTTGTTCGCGCAAATACAACATTACACGATTCAGACAAATTACGTCTTCTTATTGCTTTATCTAAATATATATGATGGTAAATTAAGGGAAGTTTATGGTGCCAGCTGCATTTTCCCTCCATTCTTTAGTGTTTCGTGTGTAATATAGGCCTTCAAGCTATAGAGTTTCGGTAGAGTTGGTGTTGTGTGCGCCCCTGTTTATTATGGCATTCTAATTCCTAATAATAATAATATGAAATGCAATTAAAACTAAAATGTTTGTGATCATAATCGTAGTTAAATGTCAAGTGGCAAAGCAAAATTAATGTCATATATAGAATAATTCATAGGATGGAAAGAACTTAAAAAAGGGTGTGCAATTATAAGATTAGTAGACAAATCGAATAAAATAAAAACGTTACGTAACATTGTGTGAAATTTGATAACATAAAATTTAACGTTACAAAAGAAAATTGATTTAGAATGACAAGTGGAACGAGTGAAATAATACCAGGGACAGTTCAAAGTGAGAATAGTAATAGTAACAATTGACGTAATAAAAGAAGAGTATACAAATTGAATAGACAAAATGAAAAATTAGTAGAGCCAAAATATGAAATGCAGATTACCATACTTTAGCGTAGAGGGATTAAGACCATGAAAGTTGGAGGCGTTGACAGAACTTTTCTGTACACAGAGATCTGGCTTTTCTGTTTCGATAGCCAAAGATGGCTTCAGTAATACAGATGAGTCGGGTACGTAGTCATTCGGGTAAATTACTTTTGGCCTTGTAGGCGACTTTAAAGACGGAGGCTCTAGAGATACGGTGATCATTATCGACTAGATGTTCAATGATCGCGTTTCTTATTGCTCCACTTCCACTTCTTCATAACAACCATGCAGGATAGTATTATTGCACTCTCTTGGACAAAAGTCGAGTCGAACGACAGATATACCTAGCTCCTCACCAGCAGGTGAATTGATAAACACACATAGATTTGGGCAACATTGGGATCTTGTCCTTCAGGTTATTGAACAGTAATGCTCTACTAGTAAAGGCTATTCTCAGAGATTCAGCAGGGAATGTTCTTTTCAGGGACTGTGAAATCCTTCTTTTCATAATATCGGAATTCCAAGCTGATGTACAGTACTTTCTTGGGTACGGTTGATAAGTCACATTTCATAGGATTTGACTGTGTACTCTTGTCTATAAAACGTGGTGGAAATCCACTTTCGATTAAGATTTTCCCCAAAAGAATTAACTAATCATCCACAGTATCAGAGCTACATATTCGCCGAATGCTAGTGGCAAGCTACCAGACCAGATTTTGTTTTCCACCAATGGGTACCCAGCTGTAGAAATTTGTCAGTTGACCATTTCACGGCAGCTTTCGATAAATCGATCTCTTCAGAGTTTTATCGGTCTTCCTTGATAAGTTCACATTAGATTAGTCATGATGTAATTATATATTGTTGTTAATATTATTAATAATATTATTTTTCCCTTGGGTTCAAAGTGGAATGTAGGCGTTGAACAGCATATCTACACTTTGTCGTATTCTCTGTTGTCTTCTTTAGTCGGCCCCACGACTGCTCATAGTCTCTCATCTCCTCCTCACACAATCTCTTCTGTGTCCCCCTTGAAGCTACTTCCAACTGGTCGTTTCCCATTTGGGTTTTATTCGAGCAATGGATTGGCGCGTGATGTCATCCGATGGTCTTCTTAGCGTGTGCCCAATTCTTCTCCATTTTATTTGCGATATTTTTGGAGCGACAGGTTCTCAGTTGGTTTGTTCCAAAAGTTTCTTGCCGCCAATTCCTTATCGTCATTCGCTCTTCAGTATGGAAACAAAACGGCAGAAGCCTATTCCAATTACTTTTCATGACGTGTGAACCAAATTTCTGACCTATGTATTTAAATATATTTTAAATATTTTTATTACAGCTTGATGCCACACCGTATTTTCAGTACAAGCATGGAATTTTCAGCATGGATATCGGTAGCCCAAATTTTGCAGGCCGACCATAGATATCGGGTGTGCGTTGGCAGGGGATCGAACCCCGAACCATGTGCATGGTCGGTGAGAGTCCTAACCACTGTGCCACCGACGCACAGGATCGACTGACTTAATATTGGTGTCGAAAATCCGATTTTTTTTTCTTTATGCTGAGTTCAGCAGATTTAAAAACCGATTTCGGAGTGGGAGAAGGTGTACATTACCTTTCCTCTACTGCCTTCGACATCTACATTCGCACCATCTGCCTGTTTGTCTGTCTGTCTGGATTCAACATAGAACTTGGCACCGAAGTGCAGCAGTTCGAGTTGCCACGTTCCAAATACCACACAAAGGTAGACAAGAAAATGAGTGAAGAGAATCAATAGAGTTTTGACAAGTATAAGAGTGAAACAGAATGAGTAATGATGGTAGAAAAGAATATGAAAGATTACAGAGACTGAATACATCTGCGTAAGCCATTGACAACGATTTTGAGCCATATCACCTATTATCTCAAGCCATTGATTCTTAGAGTCCCGAGGGCCCCGACCCGGAAGTCTGCATCTCCCTACCTGACTCAAATTAACTGTCAGGGATTTCATGGATTGATGAGGCCATGTTTTTGTTTGGCCACCACTTACCCTTTTCCAACCTGCACCATTCGCCTGTAGTTGAAACGATGCTTCCTAGACAGTTAAGTGAAGGAAGTGACTTCTTTCAAATTACTTTGTTTGACAGCGTTTGGTTCTGTTCGTTGTTGTTGTTGCTGCTGTTGTTGGTTGGTTGGTCATCTTCATCACCTCCGTCTTCTCCATGTTCACCTGAAGTCCCGTCTTCGCTGTTTCTTCAACCAATTTGTTGGTTTTCACCCGTCTGTGTAATATCAGATGTAAATCATCCGTGAAATAGAGATCTCCTGGGGTCCTTCTTTGGGTACAGCGTATTCCTGTCTCCTCACCATCCACAGCCTGACGCGTAGTCTAGTCTACCACAACTAGGTATATCAAAGATGATGATGGACACAATTATGTCATGATGTATTGGTTTGCGAGCATCAGCCTCTAAGGTAGAATCTTACAGAATGTTCCTTTATCGTTATTCACTCTGAGTTATTATGTCTTATTTTGAATTCAAAATGTATTTTTTTATTTTTATTTTTTTAATTCCTTGACGTTCTCAGTGGAACATAGGGCTTCAAGATAGAGGCTTGAAGTTTCTGTAGCAGTGTTTATTTTTACAGGATGGGGTCGCTAGCCTAATGCCCAATTTTCCCTATCACCAGCGTTTTTAGTTCTGGCTTAGCGAGGTGAAGGAGTGCGTCGGTGGCCGGGGATCGAACCCCGGACCATGTGCATGGTCGGCGAGCGTCCTAACCGCTATGCCACCGACACACAAAGAAATGTATAGGCTTTCCAAATAATAGTCAGAAGGCTGTCGAGTAGAAGTG